TGGACTTCATAGTCACATGCAGTCAAAGTGTTCGCCCTAAAGTGATCCTTGTTTGTACCAACTATGATGGGTACCTTGAAGTGTGCAAGTACAACCGTGAGAATGAAACCATAGGGTATGGTATGAGTTTTGGTGCCAATAAGAACCCTATAAAAAAGCTGGATGATAAACCCAGGCCAATTGATTTTCCTTCGCCTGTCCAGACATTTCATAAGGACTAGGTCCATGAATGTGGCAATGTGCCTTCTTTCCTGCCTGGGCAGCACAATCTTGTTAAGCAATTCGAACAACACTTTGTGGGGTGGCTTCATCTCACTTTTGTATATAGCCTTAGGCTGAAGCTCTTCTTCATTGTCACCAAACTTCCTTGTTGTGGCAAGTGATGTGGGGAGGTTTTCTAGGCTTGACCATTTTAATTTTTTATAGTCATTGTACCCTTCAGCAGGTACTCCCAGAATTTCTCCCAACTCTTTGTCATCAAAACTCACAGTCACCCCCTTTACCACAATGGTGACTCTGTCATTTTTTATCTCACAATTTGCCATGAACTCGACAATCTTAGTTCTGGCAAGCTTTCCATATATCTGTAGGACCATGTCCTTCCAACCCTGCAGTTGTAACTTTTCCAACAGCATCATCATGCCTTCCTCCTCCAAGATGGTTCGTTTCCCAAACTTAACCTTCTTCTTCTTCTTTTTCTTCTTCTTCTTCTTCTTCTTCTTCTTCTTCTTCTTCTTCTTCTTCTACTTTCACTTTTCTAGACTTCAAGGTAGACCTGGTTCTTTTTGCCAAGGTAGAAGGTTCTGCAGACTTTGTCTTCGAAGGAGACTTCTTTTTGAAAGTCTTGATTTTCTTTGCTTTTGCATTCACAACCTCTACCTCTTATGCCTGCTCTTCATCATGAAGGAACAGGTCCATCTCCTCAATTTCAACTGCCTCAACAGGCTCAATTACCTTCTTCTTTTCTCAAATTCAACCTCACTCTACTTTTTCTGACTCCTTGTAGCTCTTCCTCTTTTTGGAGGAGTCTCTACAGGGATAGAAGAGGCAGCCTTTCTCTTCTTGTTTGCCCTAGCAGTTCCAGGGATTTTAACTCTTGAACTCTTCTTTCTTTTTGGATTATAGCTGTCAAAAATGTGTTTCAGTAGATCTTCGAGGGGTTCCTGCCCTGATGGGATAGGTTCTTGAACATTCTTCCCAAATCTAACCAACCCTTCAGCAGCTTCTCCAGACCCACTTCCCTTTTTTTCTCTCACACTTTCTTCTTCTCCAGCAGATTCCTCACTTGATACTACCATTGCTCCTGTTTCTTCAGTCAAACCAACAGGAGTGGGTGAAGATTAAGCCACTCCTTTTCCCATTACCCTCACATCACCTCGATCACCCTCATTTTCCTTTTTTTTATCTTTTTATTTTTACGATGAATTTTTCCAGACTCAGTGGTTTCTACCCCAGCCATAGTTCCTACCAGAACAAATCTATCTTCCAGATTTGCAGCAACCTTAGAGATTACTTCAGATATAACTTTAGGGCCAGGTGTTACCTACTCTGTTTCAGATGAAACTGTTTCTTCCCCCTTAGTTGCAAACTTGAATGATTGTTCAGATTTCTGGGGTTTTTCTTCCCGACTTGCTTTTAACTACTCATTAATTTTCTTGATTTGTTCTCCTCCAGCGACAACCTTGCAAGCAATCATCTTGAACCTTTCTTTCTTAGAGGTGGGTGTGGTTGAAGGTGTGATAGATGGTGTGGGTGTAGTTTTCTTGGGTGGTGATGAGGGATTCTCAGAAGGGTTTGCCAATGCTGTGTTTGGATGAGTGTTTAGAAAAGATGAGAGAAGATTGAACGAAATTTTTGACGGTAGGAAAGTTTAGAATGAAGAATGGGTAAGGCCAAATCAATTTAAAGGAGGGATAATTTGATTGGTAATGATAGCTTTTTGAGAAGCTCGGGAGTCTAATCAAACTGGGAGTCAGTTTGAAGAGACGTTGAAGACTCTCCCTAGAATCTAGGCACTTATTATTTTTTGGGACTCTATTTGGATGAAACCAGTTCATTTCGTAACGGATAAGTTCAAGGAGGTTAGGATTAAATTGAACTCTCCTTTTGATCATAATCCAAATATAATTATTCCAAGATATGCAGAGTGGAGAGTATGTACCATGTAATCTTGATGAACCAGTTTCTTCATTGAGAAATCTCTTGTGTATGTCTGAATTTTCCAAGAAAATAAAGATAATATCATTAGAGATTAATGAGACATTTTAGTACATGGCACAGGAGTATACTGATAAAAGTATGAGACTGAGAAAAATCTAATCTTATTATGTACAAAATTCATAGACTTTCTAACCAATTTTTGAGTTAGAACTAGTTCCTTTTAGGTGATCTTAATCATCCCCAATTCTAACATGTTCCTTTCAAAGTGATCTTTACTTAGAGCTTTTGTGAAGATGCCAGCTATTTGCTTGTCAGTAGCATAAAATTCAAACTCTTTTCATAGTTGTCCCTCAAAAAGTGATGCCTAACATCTAAGTGCTTAGTTCTTTTGTGATAAACCGGGTTCTTGGTCATACTAATTGCGCTGGTGTCATCACAAGAGATGGGGATACAACCTACATCAATTCCAAAATAATTGTTGTTTGATCCACACAATTGAGTACAACATGAGGCAGCAGCAACATACTCAGCTTCAACAGTAGACAAGGCCACATAATTTTCCTTTTTGGTGCCTACGGCACAAGACATGCGCCAAAAAAGTGTTCCATACTTGAGGTGCTCTTCTCTCTTGTGCAACTCATCCTTCATTTTTCCTACATTTTCTTCTAAGGTGAGTTGTGTATGATCAGCTGTATTTTTGCCTGTTCCTAGTTTCAATTTTAGATTTTCAAATCTAAGTTCTAGGACAATTGAGTCAAGTGCATGAACCTGATTCTTCAATACAGTATTTTCACTTACAGTTTCACTAACCCTAAGTTCCAGGTTTTTGCATTTAGCCTTCAAAATCACACATTCTTTAGACAGCTGTTCCTTTTCGTTGTTTACATCCTCAGATTCATCAATTAGTTTTAGTAGTAACTCAGATAACCTTTCTTTAGACAACAATTTAATCTTGTCTTTGAGAAGAAGGACACCTATCTCAGTTTCTTCATCAGATTCTCCAATGGCCGTAAGTGTTTGTTAATCCTCATCATCATCATATGAGCTTTCATCTGAACTTTCTCCCCAAGCACCGACCATAGCCTTGGTTGATCCTTTGTTGTTGGTTTTCTTTGGTTGAACCTATTCCTTCTTCATGTTCCTTTATTCAGCTCTTTCCTTTTTCCATTCAGTTTTCCACAAATGACAGTTTTTGATGTGGTGATCAGTCTTTTCACACTTGTAGTAGCCATCATTGGTTTGCTTCTCAGGAGCTTTTGACTTGCTATAGCTTCCACTTCTAGAAGAACCCTTTCCTCTCCTCAGGTAATTCTTGAAGTCCTTGGTGATCATAGCCATTTCATCATCTTCCAAATCAGAACCTTCAGTGATTCTGAGTGCCAAACTCCTTTCCTTCTTAGGTACATCCATTTTCATGGTTTGTCTCCTAAGTTCATAGGCAATGAGATTTTCAATTAATTCATCTAGCAAGAGACTGGCAATATTCTTTGATTTCTGGATGACAGTGATTTTTCTCTCCCAAGTGATAGGCAAAACCCTAGTCAGTATCTTCTCGACTCTATCTTCTTCAGGAATAATCCTCCCAAGAGATTATAGCTCATTTGTTAGTGTAGTGAGCCTTGTGTACATTTCTTGAATGGTTTCTCCTTCCTTCATAGCAAATTCTCATACTAAGAATACAATAGAGTTCTTCTGGATCTCTTCACCTGAGGTGTGCCTTCATGAGCCACTTGCATTGTCTCCAAAATTTGCTTAGCAGTGGTACAACTTTGGATTCTGGTGTACTCACCTAGACCAAGTACACAAACAAGCCATTTCGTGGCTTTAGCATTCTTCTCCCATCTCTTCAAGTCCTCATCAGTGCAATCCACTCTTGTCTTTGGCGCATCTACTCCTTCAACATTTTTCTTCAAGGTAGCCAAGGGACCACCGATGACAATGTCCAACAGCTCATAGTCATCTCCTATAATGTGATCTCTCATCCTGTTTTTTCACCAAGAGTGGTACTGGCCATTAAAGAGTGGTGGCCTAGTAGTGGATTGCCCTTCTCAATTTCCAGGCGGTGCACTCATCTTGATCTTCTCCTAAGGTGTTAGCCTTTTCAAGGATAACCTGCTCTGATACCAATTGGTGTTTTACACTTCAATACCACACAAAAGGGGGGAGGGATGATTTGTGTGGTGTCTAATTTTTCGCGTGCACAAATTATAAAAGGACCAGGTTCTTCTATGTGTTCCTTATAGTACTGTTGGGGAATAATAATTGCGAAAAGTATATAACACAATTATTTTTACATGGAAAATACCCGGATCAAAAGATTAAAAAAAATCACGACCTACTACTCAGTGGGATTTTTTTCAACACTTCACTAAATCACTGAGCAAAAAGAGTATTTACAAAACTCTTTATAAACTTAAGGATTACCTTTAATCCCCTTGTGGCAACCAACCTCTAACTATTGCGACAACTTCAAGTTAACTCTAACTTGAATACAACACTCAGAGTACCTAGTACAATTGCTTATAGATAAAGCAGAAAGGTACAATTTGAAATACCTACTACAATGAAACTAGAATAAAAGACAGACACTTGGAACTGGTTCTTCTATCTGGTTCATGTAGCTTCAGGTTCAGACACTTGAATCACACAAGAATTGCTTGCAAAATGCCTTGCTATTTTGCTTTCAACTCATGTTTAACTTCACCGTTTGTGCGTACCTGTAAAATGAGAACATCCTAAAATATATAGAGTTAGTAGAATAAGATTAACTAGAGTTCTAATGCTATACTCTTCCATGGTGAAAAAGTTCTAGTTATCTTCAACTTCTAACTCCTCCTTATCTAGGATATAGTTCTCTCGAGTAAGGAGTCCTTCTCCTTATCATTTATGCAATATTTTCGATCAGGAGATATCACATATAACCACTTAATCTTATCCCCTTCACGTGCATGGCTTGTGCTTGAATCTACCCGTGTCTGTGTATACTGTGTATGGACCTGCTTCATGCTTGAGTTACTTTGTTAATCATCAAAACAAACTTCACTTGAGCCAACAGAAACATATTTCATAATCCTGCCAAACAAAACGATTATGTTCTACGCATGTAAATAACAAAATCGGATATTAGAACAAACGATTTTGTTAGAACTGAGAATGGTTCTGAAACGCAAAGCCGGTGTCAACAGTCTCTAGGTCGGGCAGTTTGGAAACTGGAGCTTGCATTTTGTTGACATTTTGTAGAATAATTTTGCGGTTAATAATCCATTGTCTTGCTTTTCTGTCAAGAAAAAAAGGTCGCAATCAACAGTCACTTTCTCTTACCAAAATGGATTAAAAATGCTTTGGCCCTGTATAGAATTTTCAAATCGTATTGGCATTTATTCAAATTACATGTTGTTTTAGATTCCCAATAGGGTGCAACAACTTTGATCTTTGTGTCGCTTGGAGAGAGAGCAGTAATTTCCTTACTCATACGATCTGCTATGCCGGGAAACATAGTTGAGCCACCACTAATCACAATATTTGAAAATAAATCTTTCCTAATATCGACATCACATATCATGATTGAGTTGTAGATTTTTTCATGAATTCCTATCTCTTCCTTTCCAACTAATGAAGGCTGGAAGAGGACTTCAGGGCAACGGAACCTCCCAGCACAAATATTAATGACTTCTCCATCAGGAAGCTCATAGCTCTTCTCAACTGATTTTGGGAAATTTTTTGCCTTCTCAATCTCCTGTTCAAAATCCAGTGCAACATAAGCATTTGTCTCCTTCATCTCGCGAAATATACCTGTTTCAATTGTACGGGTATAGGATAAAACACCCTCCTCCAGTAGAAACTTTATGAGTGTTTACCCTCGAATCCGGATAACAATTGAATTTATATGGGGTTTTAAGGATCCGTGAACTAAAAGATACAAAAGGTTTTTAGGTTGAGGAAAATAAAGATAAAGACTCAACAATTGCTGTTAAAGTAAATAATCGCAGAATATAGTATTGCCTAGAACAATTGTGCTTCCCTCCTTTTATACATTCTGATTAAGGGTAAAAATAAGGTAGGTAAATTGATTACATCGTGGATCCCTGTAATTACGCCTTAATGGCCTGAAGTGGTTGAGAAAATCACGTTTGGGCGAGATATCCGGCGACGCTTGATTATCCTTTACGAGTCCGGCTTCCGACCTTGTGTGTTTCTCCATCCGGTGGTGACTCCTTTCGAGCTCTGTAACGGTCTCGAAATGACTCGACCTCGGTTGTAGACGTGGCCGTCGCTCTACCTTGCATCCAGGTCGGGTTCGATGGCCCCAACTTGCTCCGGACCGGACCCAACCCGGTCGGGCTCAAGCAAAAAAGGGTATCACCCAATACAAAGCGGGAGGTTAATTTGACTTTGTACATTCTGAAAAGAAAAGCAGATTTTATACAGTGTGTTTCAATTATTTGAGAAGATTGAGTGTTCATTTTGTATTTATGTCTTCCATTTGAACTTATAAATTCTGAATCCATGGCGTGCTGTTTTTATAAAGAAATAATATGCATCTTCTAGTGTCACAATTATTGGAGCATATTTTGGATTCTTGTCCATTTTATGAATTTGAATTTCAAATTTGAAAGATGGTGCAGAGATATACTATATAGTAAATATTTTAATGAAAATACGTTGTTGTACTGTCCACATATTTGCCGAGATTTCCTCACTTTATAATGGTCTAATAGTGGCTTTAGAACACCATCAAAAGTTGGCGGTGAAATAACAAATATTCTTTTCATTTTAAATTAGATATATTTCGGTTCGAGCCTTAGATATAAAATCGTATTTGATAGAAAATATTTTACCCATAAAGTAAAACTTTACAACACAAATCCAGATTAGTCGGACTTCAAAGCAGAAAAAAATAATAGAGGCTTTAAATACAAACTTTTCCCACTAGTATTTTAAACAAATAAAATATAGTGAAAATGTGTTAACAATATATAAGTATGGTAATAATAATTATTTTGAAAAGTTATCTGACAAGAATCTACTCCCAACTAATAGTAGATATCACATATATGTATATAAAAAAAATAAAAAAATCTCCATTATGGCTTATTTTTAGTTGAATCTACGTTGAGATGTAAGAGTTTGTAGATCTTTCGAGACAACTTCTTTCTATGTGATTTTAGGTCTACCTCATTGATAAAGGGTGAAAAGTACATGTTTTAAGTGTATTTGTGTATTAATTCTTGTAAATCGCGGGAGTTCACACTACTTTTGAAGTAAAAATATGCTCATTACGTGTTTCTTATGTGTAGGAATAAACTCGCGCGGAAAAGGATCAAATAGGAGCAAAACTGGCGAAAGAAAAGCTGAAGGAAGAAATCTGGGATATCGAAGCGAGGTTCGCTTCGCCAGACCGGGACCGGAGCAGGAAAAAAAAATCAGTTTCTCTAACCCGAATTAGGAGAAGCCAATCCCAACTGAACCCTAAATATAGAAATAATACTCCCTCCGGTTCACAATAAATGTCCAATTTGCTTTTTCATTTTGGTTCAAAATAAGTGTCCAATTATGTAATCAAGAAATAATTCAATTTGTTTTTACAAAATAACTCCTATGTACATATCCCAAAAAAGTTTTCTTACTCCTCACATTAAATGTTTAATTAGGGGTAGTTTAGTCATAGTAGGTATTTTTGTATAGAATTTAGTATTTTCTTAATGGGCGTGCTAAAAGCAAATTGGACACTTATTGTGAACCGGAGGGAGTAGTTAGCCACTTTTTGAACTGGGAGAAGACTTTGAGGAGGCAAGAACACACTTGGAAGCAGAGAAAAGCTATAATAGAGTTTGGAAACCATGAAATTCTTGAATTCTTCTTTTTCCCTTTTATTACTGATTTTTCTTGATAATTAATTAAGATTGCTACCATGACTATGTGTGGCTAAACTCATTTATTCCGGGTTTATGGTTTTACATGAGTGTTAATATTCAAAGATTGATTTGATGATTTAATTTATTATATTGGGTTGTTTATTCATATCCCGACCTAATTATATTACTATCTAGCTAACAATGAAATACTATTATAATGAATCTTGAGTTGAACTTAAAAGAGGTAATTCTTGATTGCAATAGAATTTGAATAAAGTGTGATCTTGAACCTAATCACTGGGGAATTGATTTGCGAATACGGATAGAAATATATCTATTTGTCGTGCTTAGCCAATTGTGCAAGAGATTATTAATGCGTTCTTTTTATCTCTAATCTCATAGTAATATACAACAACAACAACGACCTAGTAAAATCCCACTAGTGGGGTCTGGGGAGGGTAGTGTGTACGCAGACCTTATCCCTACCCCGAAGGAGTAGAGAGACTGTTTCCGAAAGACCCTCGGATACTCATAGTAATATAGGGTTTAATAAATTTAATAAGCGAGTAGAAGTTGTCAAATTTCTACGAGTATTCTTGTCCTTGCAGGTTAATAACCGCGATAAATTGATAAGTCAAGTTGATTGAAGAATTCAACAGGATTGTTATCCAATCATCACCCTAGAATATTATTTCTCACTGAATTCAACCTTTCGCGCTTAGTGTGCTAGTTAATTAGTTCTTCTTTTAATCGTAACTTTAGTTAGTAGAATTCTTCAAACAAAAATCACCTTGAAATTGTTCTTGACCCGATAAATTAGAATTTGCTTGATTTAGTTGATAATTGATCACAACTACTCGCGGGAACGATACTCTACTCACTCTTTATTACTTGATTGATCGCATATGCTTGCGTGTGCGATTTAGGGCAACATCACATATATAAAAAAAATTCTCCATTATGCCTTATCTTTAGTTAAATCTACATTGAGATCTAAGAGTTTGTAGATCTTTCAAGACAATTTCTTTCTATGTGATTTTAGGTCTACCTCGTCCTCTTTGGATACATTCATTCAGCATAGTTTCATACATGTGAACTGGTGTATCTATAGGGTAACGTATGATATGACCAAACTATCTCAAGCGGCTTTCCATCATTTTATCCTCCATACGGGCTAATTGCACCTTTTGGCCTATGCTGTCATTTTTAATATTGTCTAATCTTGTATGACCGTATATTCATCTTAAAATCCATATCTCTTTAACACTTATCTTGTAAATATGTTGGACTTTAGCAGCTCAACATTCACTACCATATAACAATATCAAGTTTCTATTGAGCTCATATATTACGAGACACGCATTTATGACTATCTCAAACAGTAAAGAAATTCTGGCGAAAAACTAAGAGCCTGTTTGGCCATGAAACTCTTTTCACTTTTTAAAAAAATCAGTGTTTGGCCATAAAATTTCAAATTTTCACTTGAAGATGGATTTTGAAATTTTTCGAAAATTTTAAAAACTCCAAAAAGTTATTTTTCAAAATTTTCACTAAGATCACTCGCAAAAATTTAAAAACAGCCCAAAATTATATTCATGTCCAAACATAACTTCAATTTTTAAATATCATTTTCACTTTTAAAAAAAAAAATTAAATTTTTTTTCGAAATTTTACAATTCTTATGTCCAAACGCCCACTTAATAACTTCATTACCAAAATAATAGTCTTCTATTCTTGCATTAACGTCTTTTGTTCACTTTTATCACTTCAAACTTTAAGTTCGAATGACACTTATAACAAATGCTTAAACCCCACTTGAGACAAGGCATATGAGAAACAGAGTGTTATAAATGGATCAATTCATCATTTGCAAAGTCGAAATTTTTGCAAACCGCACAATTACAAGAGAGCAATGAAGTCATTTCAGTAGAAAGCAACATATTCTTCACTCCATTAAGTGAATTAATGGATTACCATGTGGAAGCACCATCTTAAGAGTTGTCTAGGTGTTAATGCATAACAGAAAGAATGTTTTCTGTTTTGGACTCCGCACTGTGAATAATTAAATACGATAAATGTTGATGTGCGCATAAAGTTTCATATTGGTATCGGAAAAGATTGGGAGTCTACATATAAGGTATATGGATCTCTTAATGGTGTGAGGCATTTTGGAAAAAACCGCAGGGGTTTGGCCCAAATCGGACAATATACACCATGTTAAAAGTGTATTTGGGCTAATTTAGCCCAACAACTGGTATCATCGTCCAAGTTCAGCGGGACGAGTATGAAGATGGCAAAGTGATGGTGCGAGACTCGGTTTGGGGACACGCACACAAGAAGAAGCTAGTTGCGGGCTTCGGTTGCTATAATACTCTAACAATGTGGGTGACACTTAGTGAATCTCGGAAATAGACATGTGAATTGTGGTAGTGAGCCACGTGAAACTTAGTTGAGGGGGAAGATTGTTGGTGTGCGAACAAAGTCCCACATTGGTAGCTGAAAAGATTAGGAGTCTACATATAAGGTGTAGGGATCTCTTAATGGTGTGAGACCTTTTGGTTTGTGGGAAAAACCATGCGGGCTTGGCCCAAAACGGACAATGTCTCAACGTGTTAAGAATGTATTTGGGCTAGTTTAACCTAACAATAAGTATGGTATATACAATTTAATATTAAAATATAGTCTAATCTCTCTATAACAGTTATTCTCTATAACAGCAATTCACTATGATGACCAAGTTTTTTCTTCGGAACTAATTTTTCATCTTATATTATAAAATATATTTTTTGTAATATCATTTCGCTATAGCAGCTAAAAATTATCGGAACAATCGAAACTATAATAAAGATGTTTGACTATAGTTGTCAATGTTTCTAATTTATAGCAATAGCAGGGAATATAAATAGTATCGATCGAGTTACAAGTCCAATATCAGAAAAATAAGGCTAAACTTGATCAGGTACCATCCGAAATTGCTCAATTTTGTCTTGCA